ATAAAACAAATCAAAAACAGTTTTCAGTGTTTGATACTCTGATCAAAACACTTGGGATGTTGGGAGAACACTCGAGAAGCTGGACACCACTACGCTACGCGTCGTGGTTTCCTACACTCCTCTCGTGTTCTCTCAACATCCCACGTGTTTTGATCAGAGTATCAAACACGGAAAACTGTTTTTGATCTGTTAATTCAATGACCATGAAATAAAGAACGGAAATATTTTTTAAACAATATCTTCAAGGAGGTTTTAGACTTAAYCATATCCTTTTTGTAATCACTACCAAATCCTGCAATCTGATTGGCTTAAAGGAGTGCGATTAATTCCCAAATCGCATCCTTAGGAGCTCTTAATCGCATCCTTTTGAGCTCTTACTCGCATCTTTTTGAAAGAACCAATCACAGAACAGAATTCTTACATTCAGCCAATCAGAGAATCAATATGAATATTTAATGATTTGCTGATAAATCGTTTATTTTATACCAGGAAAAACTTGATTAATTTACTTCTTCTACATTAAATTGATTATTCTGCACTCTTTATTGTGTCTTTTTCTTGTGTTTGATTACAAAAAGGATATGATTAAGTGGTAATTGAACTTCGTTTCGTGCAATTTTGGACCAAAATCATACTTGTGATTAACAAATTGCACTCCCACTACACGCAGTCGTGCAAATTGTAATCACTCGTAAATTGCACGAAACGAAGTTCAATTACCATCATGAATAAAAGAATTTAATCATCTCGGCACGGTTGTACAAAGCCTGGATAGCGCTATCCTGCAGATAAATCCTTATCCAGTGGATAAGTCGATGCTGTTATCCATTAAATTTATCCACTGGATAAGATTTATCTGTTGGATAGTGCTATCCAGCGCTATACCCAATACTTTAACCCAGGAGTCCCCCCTAGGGATGAGAGATAACTAATATGCCTGCCCATATCCATTATTTACAATGTAGTATTACCTTGTCATAAAATGGTTTAAACTTCTCAGCATACTTGCACTCCAGAGCATGTACTTCTTCATAGAATTTCCCTTCTAGTTTACAACAAGAAACCTGTAGATTCTTAAGAGCTTTGATTCTTCTTTTCACTGATTTGGGTAAACTGAAACACAATAGATAATAAACACCTTTACCTTCTGTGAAAAGCTTACACATTTCAGACCACATTTTATTCTCTTGAGAATAAGATTCTTTGTCAGAGTCATATCCATACACATGTGTCTTCTCATGTACAACCGTTAAGCAAAGAAATGATACTCTAGGGAATGACACATGGTCTTGAGAATAAGATTCTTTGTTTGAGTTGTATCCATATTCATGTGTCTTCTCATGTGCAACCGTTAAACAAACAAATGATACTCTAGGGAATGACACATGGTCTTGAGAATAAAATTCTTTCTTTGACAAAGAAATGATACTCAAGGGAATGACTAGTGGTCTTGAATGGGAGAAAAAATATGCACAAGGTAAGAAGGTCTATAGACCAAATACAGTGATAATTTGGCATATGTTAATAATAATAATAATAATAATAATAATATTTATTTAAAGTCGATAATGTAGGAAGTAGTTGCCAATCTTCCAAGGAACAAAGCTCATGTTAAAAACGCTTGACAAAATAACTAATAAAAAGAGTACAAAAACAATACCTTATTCCACTTAATTTTCGCGACTCCTAAATTTCGCAATTTCTTGATGGCGATATTTCGCGACACTTAATTTTCGCGATTTTCCAATTTAGGTGTAAACTAAGTCACTTTGCGCTTCCTAATTTTCGCTTGACTTTATTTTCGCGACATCTAATTTTCGCGATATTTTTCAAATCGCGAAATTCGCGAAAATTAAGTGACCCGAAAATTAAGTGGAATAAGGTATTAAAAATATTTAAGAGTTACTCAACAACAATAATATTAATTAGTAAGGGTAAATTATACACCATGAAAAGATGAAAAATATTACTGACGTTTCGGACGCTAGTCCTTCGTCGGAGTAAAAGAGAAAGAGGTGGTAGAAAGGAGTGTTTATATACTGAGAACAAGACAAAAGAAACCAATGAGAACAAGGTGGGCAAGAAAACGAAAAAGAAATATCAAAAGATAAAAGAAAGGGTTAGTTGAATGCAAAGGGTTCATTAATCCCGTTGGGACTAAGAGTGCCCAATAGGTGAATGAGCACTAGTTTTTAGCTAGTTATCTTTTCTGTTGGTTTCTTTTGTCTTATTCTCATTATATAAACACTCCTTTCTACCACCTCTTTTCTTTTACTCCGACGAAGGACGAGCGTCTGAAACGTCAGTTTTTTCATCTTTTCATGGTGTAAGATTTACCYTTTTATCATTACTGTTTCATTAGAAACACCAACACAGCTCACACTAGTTTTTAGCTAGTTGTCTCTTCTGACAACAATAATAATATATCAAATATTTTTTCTTTGTTCATACTTTTGAATGTATCCACTTTGCTGCCCAACCAACCGACTCAATCCACCCTGTAAAGTAAAAAAAAGAAAGTTGTCAATACAGACTATCAATTATTTTGTATACATGTATGAGCTCGAGCCAATGGCAAGACAATGCAGACACAAATATTGCATATTACTTATCAAACATCCTAATAGGTTTGTGTTTTACTAAAATTTTAAAGATAAGAGTAAATATAGCAAAGAAAATCCAAGTTAAAGTTTGCAATTTTGCATTCAAATTTACAACCTTCTATCATGGTCAAGATTTCTGTCGTATTTTCCTCAAGAATTACTAGTGAGTTTGATAATCTTGCATAAAGTGTTTGTCCCCAAATGGTATTTTTAAATATCGATACGCTCCTTAATAAAAATTCATCTACTCAGGGTTAGCCTCATATCAGTGTCTAAATATTCACAAATACCAACGGTAAAGTAAAGAATGCACAACTTCAACGATACAAGCATTTTGAAATTCCACAGACCTTCACTGGAACAAATGGTATTTTWAAATATCGATACGCTCCTTAATAAAAATTCATCTACTCAGGGTTAGCCTCATATCAATGTCTAAATATTCACAAATACCAATGGTAAAGTAAAGAATGCACAACTTCAACGATACAAGCATTTTGAAATTCCACAGACCTTCACTGGAACATGTGAATATTTTGCACAAAATTGAGGCCAACCCTGAGCAACAGAGAACTTGAAAGTGTGGTATTAAAAAGAGAGATTTTAAATGTTATTTTATAAATTAATAATMAAAAATAACAAAGCTACGCTACCTGTACTGCAGCTAACAATTCAGGATTTTGCATCAAAGCTGATGCTGCTGTTGAATTTCCTACACGACCATAAACAAAAAAAAAMCATTCATTTAAACACCCAAATATGATTGATATTAAGAGCAAATTAAGCCTGCAAATTATCACTGGACACACGACATTTGTCAGACGAAGGACTAGCGTCCAAAACGTCTGTTTTTTCAGCTTTTCACGGTGTAAAACTCACAGTGATAAACCCTTTTATCATTACTGTTTCATTAGAAACACCAACCCTGCTAACACTAGTTATCTTTTCTTGTCTGGTAAATTAGTGGTGTTGACCGGTCAATGTTCAAGCCTGGCCGGACACTCTGACCAGAAACACCAACACTGCTCACACTAGTTTTTAGCTAGTTATCTTTTCTTGTCCGATAAATTAGTGGTGTTGACCGCTCAACGTTCAAGCCTGGCCAGACACTCTGACCAGAAACACCAACACTGCTCACACTAGTTTTTAGCTAGTTATCTTTTCTTGTCCAGTAAATTAGTGGTGTTGACTGGTCAACATTCAAGCCTGGCCAGACACTCTAACCAGACTCTTCCTATAGGATGTTCAATATAACAAAATACGCTCACTCTAGAATTGGAAAAATATGTTCACTCAAAATAGCAAAAACTGAAACAGAACTGTCAAGTGTATTCTGTCAGAGTTGGAAATTATTAGAGAAAAGTGAATCCAGTCAATAAAAAGGACAGTAACAGTCTTACACGTAGCAGCTGCCATGTTGTTTTAGCAGTTTTACCTTTTTTTGTGRCAGCATTTGATGGAAGCTTTTTCTGACTACACTGGCTGCATGTCAAGTCAACCCCTTTCCCTAATATGATAATTGACAGCCTGCAGTTGTCACATGTGAATTCAACTTTTCGGCCCTAGCCATCACGTGGTATAAATTGTGTCGGATTTTGTTATGGTCACCAAGAAGTTCGGACATCGTTCTCGGATTCCCATACAAATTCACTGACTTTAAACAGAAAATATAGGTAGATTTCTTTAGTTAGCTCTCTTAACAGCAATAAGAAAAGCTTCAATCAAGTTAGAAAAAGGATATATTACTTGTATTTGGAGAACTAACTAAACAAACCAAGTAAATAGTTCATTTAAAGTCAGTACATTTGTACGGAAATCCAAGAACAGTATCCGAACTTCTTGGTGACCGTAACACAATGCAACACAATTTATACCATGTGACAGCTAGCGCCTAAAAGGGGAATTGAGTTTGTTATGTGCTGTTCTCTCCTTTGCTACAAGGGTTTTTCTCTGGGTTCTCTAGGTTTCTAGGTTTCCTCTCTCCAAAAATATCAGGTGTATATACCTACAAAATTACATTAGATTTTCATACCTGTCGGAGGAGAACTACCAAGATTTTCCCCCTCACTGGAAGCATCTTCTACATTCGACATTTTTCTGTAAATGAGAAATAAAAATCAATAAAATAATTATAAACTGCCAAAACATAAGTAATATTCCATGTAAATCGAATCCCGACAATATTCTTTCATTTCAAAAAATGTTTCATTTGGATGAAGAAAATTGGGAAATGCATAGCCATTCTGTATCAAGGGAAGGGTAGCAATGATGCATTTGCCTCCAGGGCGGATCCAGGAATTTTAGAAAGGGGGTGACTATTACAAAGGTTTTACCAGGAACTTGAGAAAAAGGGGGCGACTATCAGGGTTTTCAACAAAATTTTTGGTAGGCAGTTATGAAATTAAAATAGGCGGTAAACCAGAAATTACTCCAGCATGTAAGCAAGGCATACTTGTCATCACTCTCACTCTTCTCACAAAAATTCAAGATGGTGGACAACGATCGTCATAGTTTCGATTGCGTTGCAGTTTTCGTAGAACAGCAACAAAGATTGGGTTGAAATTTATTTTAACGAACTTTAAAGAACTTTAATAAAAATTTACAATTACATTGGGAAGTGGCTGAGTAGGTGGCTGAGTTAGCAAGAGTAGACGGCGGAATCTGCCGGTTGCCCGCTTCTATTGAAATTCCTGGACTGTTACTAACAATATAGGGGGTGACTAATTACTTACTTAACCACCCCTGGATCCGCCCCTGACTTCACTTAGTCAGAGCTTTCAGAATATTCTGGTGGCTGCTTGAGCTCTTCTGATTGCTTCGAAGTTATATCCGTTATTCGCTGACTAATTTTTCTTGTGTATAAAATACTTTATGCTTGTTGTAACCCGGGGGGGGGGGGTACTCCCCTATATTTGCTATACGGGTATGTGCCGCCCTATAGGGTATGGTTTTTCAGCTTTTGGGTCTGGGGTAGGGAATCATTTTTTGACATTTGGTCTTGGATAGGGTATTATTTTTGTCTGGGATAGGGTTAAAGATTTGGTCGTTTTTGTCTGACGAATAGGCTACGCTTTCTGCCTGCACGAAAACAATAAAAACGTTAGTAAATATTGATTGCAATCTATTGAATAATCATCTTTTCTGTCTTTTAGTCTGGGATAGGGTGTACAATTCTTAGTTTTAGTCTGGGGTAGGGCATGTAAAATCAAAATTTTAGGTCTGGGATAGGGTCAGAGTTTTGAGGTCCTGGCGGCACACCCCTACCCAAGTTGGGGTGGTAGTACCCCCCCCGGGTTATAACAGAAAGCAACTTGAGACTTATGATCAGATTTTCATGACTAAAGCACTTGAATGCCAGATCAAATTGGAATTTAAGAGTTGAGTTTTACATAGGGAGTAACTCCAGAAAACCTGGAGAAAAACACTTGAAGCACAGAAGAGGGACCAAAAACAACCGTATTCACAAACAACACCGAGCCCTGGAATCAAACCTTGGTCGCATTGGTGAGAGGCAAGCACATTAGCATCGCATGCAACCCATGCTCCTCAACATCTGCAATTTTTGCAATATCTCAGTTCTCTATTAATATATGCAATATATCTATTCTAGTTTTTAAGTTCTACTGACAATTTGTTAATAATTATTTGGTAATGAGGTCTTAAAAACAAACCGAAATATTTAACTAGTCAATGTACAAATTTCTTATTTCAAAGTTCTTTTTTTTTTAAATTCGTACAGTCTGCATTGAAAAGTGTTGAACGAAACCTAAGATGCAATATTTGATTAATTTTACTAACCTCTGTTAAATGAAATTTCAAGATAAAATAAAGATAACTAAAAATCGATTTTCTCGTTCAGTTTACAGCCAAGGACAGGAAAATTTTCCAGGTTGGAAAATAACAGTTCAACATAATATTGAACCTTTTTACACCAATAAACGCGAAATTTAAAAAAATAAAAAAAGCATAAAATACCTATTAAATATCATAGGTTTTAAGAAAAGATATTTTTAGATTTTAAAGCAAAATTATTTTTCTATCGCCTGACATTTTCACTTAGGATTAGATATTTTCTGAGAACAAACTTGCAGAATGCCGTCAAAAAAATCCTTTCTAGTTAAATTCAGCGAGAGAAAAAGCTAAACCTGCAGTAGTATATTGTGTATTGGATGACTGGCTTACCTTGGGTGGTTTTTGAAGAAGTTTTCGATAAATAAAGAGGTATTTTTTTGGAGTTTTTTGACCCCGTTTTCTGTGTTTCTTGAACCACGCGGTACTAAGAAATATGGCGCGCCGTTCACTTGCGCCCACGCTATTCGTCAGCGTAATGTCACGTGGTTTATTAATTTTAATAAATAACATTTAAAAATATTAATAAAACTTACATAAAAACTAGCATAAAAACTAAGAATTTTAAAATTAAGATCAAAACGTCAAGGATCGTTGTTTTTTTTTAAATCATAATATCAAGACTTGTTGGTTTTATTTTTTATTTTTAAAGCAAATCCAAAAAATAAAAATTACAAAGCTTTGATAAAAAAAAGTAAAAGGATGTTGAGGAATAAAAATAGTTGTCCCGTTGGAGAGAAGTTAGTAATACGCATTGCAAATAAAAATATTACCAAATTAATCAAAAAATATCGTCGCGAGCAGGATTTGAACCTGCGCGGGGAGACCCCATTAGATTTCTAGTCTAACGCCTTAACCACTCGGCCATCGCGACNATGTAAAATCAAAATTTTAGGTCTGGGATAGGGTCAGAGTTTTGAGGTCCTGGCGGCACACCCCTACCCAAGTTGGGGTGGTAGTACCCCCCCCGGGTTATAACAGAAAGCAACTTGAGACTTATGATCAGATTTTCATGACTAAAGCACTTGAATGCCAGATCAAATTGGAATTTAAGAGTTGAGTTTTACATAGGGAGTAACTCCAGAAAACCTGGAGAAAAACACTTGAAGCACAGAAGAGGGACCAAAAACAACCGTATTCACAAACAACACCGAGCCCTGGAATCAAACCTTGGTCGCATTGGTGAGAGGCAAGCACATTAGCATCGCATGCAACCCATGCTCCTCAACATCTGCAATTTTTGCAATATCTCAGTTCTCTATTAATATATGCAATATATCTATTCTAGTTTTTAAGTTCTACTGACAATTTGTTAATAATTATTTGGTAATGAGGTCTTAAAAACAAACCGAAATATTTAACTAGTCAATGTACAAATTTCTTATTTCAAAGTTCTTTTTTTTTTAAATTCGTACAGTCTGCATTGAAAAGTGTTGAACGAAACCTAAGATGCAATATTTGATTAATTTTACTAACCTCTGTTAAATGAAATTTCAAGATAAAATAAAGATAACTAAAAATCGATTTTCTCGTTCAGTTTACAGCCAAGGACAGGAAAATTTTCCAGGTTGGAAAATAACAGTTCAACATAATATTGAACCTTTTTACACCAATAAACGCGAAATTTAAAAAAATAAAAAAAGCATAAAATACCTATTAAATATCATAGGTTTTAAGAAAAGATATTTTTAGATTTTAAAGCAAAATTATTTTTCTATCGCCTGACATTTTCACTTAGGATTAGATATTTTCTGAGAACAAACTTGCAGAATGCCGTCAAAAAAATCCTTTCTAGTTAAATTCAGCGAGAGAAAAAGCTAAACCTGCAGTAGTTTATCGTGTATTGGATGATTGGCTTACCTTCGGTGGTTTGTGAAGAAGTTTTCGATAAATAAAGAGGTATTTTTTTGGAGTTTTTTGACCCCGTTTTCTGTGTTTCTTGAACCACGCGGTACTAAGAAATATGGCGCGCCGTTCACTTGCGCCCACGCTATTCGTCAGCGTAATGTCACGTGGTTTATTAATTTTAATAAATAACATTAAAAAATATTAATAAAAACTTACATAAAAACCAGCATAAAAACTAAGAATTTTAAAATTAAAATTAAAGCATCAAGGATCGTTGGTTTTCTTTAAGAAAAATCAAAATATCAAGGCTTGTTATTTTGAAAATCTATCCAATAAATAAAAATTACAAAGCTTTGATAAAAAAAGTAAAAGGATGTTGAGGAACAAAAAGAGTTGTCGCGTTGGAAAGAAGTTAGTAGTACGCATTGCAAATAAAAATATTACCAGTTTGACCAAAAATTATCGTCGCGAGCAGGATTTGAACCTGCGCGGGGAGACCCCATTAGATTTCTAGTCTAACGCCTTAACCACTCGGCCATCGCGACGTCTTGTAAATTAATGTGGAACTTATCATATTTGAAGGCGTTTTACTAAGTTTGAAACTTTATCAACTTATTTTTTCGTATTTTAAAAAGAAAAAAGAAGCAAATGACGTAGGGAAAACAAGAATTAATTTGGTAGTCGTCTCATTTCTGGAATCGTGTTTTTGCAACTGCTAAATAACTTAATAAATTCAGTTTTTTCCTACTTCTGGGCTACCTGTGGAACATTAGGCCGAGCTTTCCCGGGCTGAAATCCTCGCACTCTTCGATGCACGTTACGTAATCGAGACCTCTCGGGAGAGCCTTGTGTATTGGTCCCAATAAACAAAAGATTTCTTATCTATTGCCCTTAACGGCACATTGGCCGCCATACTTTTGTCTTTTGACTCTCTTAAGAATGCTTACAACCACCATAATCAAATTAGTGCCTAAGATTATTGCACCTTGTTGCATGAAATTTTGCGTTTTCATATCTTGCTTTAAAAGTCAGTCTCAATAGACCTCTTCGGCTCTGACGTAATGTTTTCCCATTTCAGACCAAATTTCATTCCCTAGAGTATCATTTCTTTGTTTATTTGTTTCATGTTTGCGCTCGGTTGCACATGAGAAGACACATGATATGGATACAACTCAAACAAAGAATCTTATTCAGTCAAGGGAATGACACGTAGTCTGAAATGGGAAAACATTATACCCCAAGCCGAAGAGGTCTATTACCAGAAATAGCGATTGTCCGGAAAGATTTGAGGAACACTATAAACCTGGAGACCGGAAGATGACGGTTCCAAATGCAAAATTTTGAGATCGACTTTCGGACAATTTGGGAGAGGCTGTCAAACCTGAAAATATTTTGATAGATAAAACAAGGAACCCCTTTAGTACTACAGCGTGATACCTTCAAGCGGCCATCTTCGTGGAATACGAATTCAGTAAATTTAAGCGTTTTCACGTGACGTCTCAGCGGCCATGTTGGTGTACTAAAACAATAAATTTTCTATCATACAGGAATTGAACCCTATTTTTTATGCAAAACCTGTACAGAAAGTTTCTATTGTTTGGTACACCAATATGGCTGCCATGAGTGAAAACGTCTTATGACAGTACTCTCTGCTTAAGAAGAAATTGAAATTCTCATTTAGGCACGTGTTGCAACCACCAGCCCTTCACGTTGGTCCGCCCTGTAGACCTGAAGAAAAGAAAAAAGATCGTTGCGAGCAGGATTTGAACCTGCGCGGGAAAATCCCATTGGATTTCGAGTCCAACGCCTTAACCACTCGGCCATCGCAACTTACTTGAGGCTAAATCAAAAGAAAATGGGATAAATACCATTCAAATATATTTCGCCGTAGCCATAGATATAGGATAATTGTCACGTGATCGTCAAACAGCCCAATTGCTACGTCACTTCCGTCTGTATTAGAACAAGAAAACGTCGAGAACTGTGTGCACTCTAAGTTTTGTAACCCACTTCTCAAGCTCAATTTTCCACTTCAAAGCAAGAGCAATCTTCAGAGTTAGGAGAAAAAGGTAAAAGATCGTTGCGAGCAGGGTTCAAACCGCTCGGCCATCGCAACTTTTTTGGCTGTGTTCTAACTAAAAGTTAAAGGATTCCAAGCAAACCTTATTTATGGTAACCATAGTATTATATCCTCACTGAATCCTTAGAGAGATATCAGAGATATCATATACACCTATTTCGAAAATCGTTCAGTCGCACCAAGAGCCTCAAGTAACAAGCCAAGGCTCCAGAGAACGTCGGTACATTTTAATTACAATTGATTTATTCATGGTTCATGCAAGTGGCTTTGGCTCTCCACTGATTATCATCTCAAGCAGCCTTGCTTGGAGCAATTTGTGAAGTCAATAAATGAAAATGCACCATGAATAAACTAATTACAGCTAAAAGTACCGGCGTTCTCTGCGGTCAAGGCTTGCTGCTTGAGGCATTTGGTGCGACAACGATTTCTGAAATAGGTGTATCTAAAGGACCACAGAAGGAAACCCTTTTTTCCCTCCCATTTTTACCTTAGTTTGTCAGTTAAAATCGCGCGCGCGAAATCGTACAATCATTCATAAAGCAAACGTATGACGTAAATAGAAACCAGTTTTTTTAGTCGTTCCTAGATTGAGAAATAAACTGTCAAACGGTTAACTAGGTCGAGTTGGCATCGCAGTGCATCTTGGGATTGGTTTATTCTAAAGTTGCTGACACACTGTGCAACATTGCATACAACATTGCACGCATCATGACTGTTGGAGCGTGTGTCTACCCCAAACTAACTTGTCATGCAACAAATCTGAAGTTGAATCGCGCTCTACTCTTGCAACATTGCGCGCAACAAATTTCATCATGTGAACATGGTTGCAACATTACCTGCAACATTTGGAAATTTCCAGCCAATCAGCTTGCACCAAATTCATAACTGCTGACTAAATACCTTAACATAGAAGGCTGACACAAGTGATGTTGCGTGATTTTGTTGAAAAGTGTGTCGATTCAAATGTGTTGCAAGGTTGTGTGTAATGTTCCACCGTGTGTCAGCGCCTTAAAAGCTTTTTTGTTGTTCAATAAAACAGTTCCACAATGCACTGCAATGTCAACACGATCAATAACTCCACCCAATTTTTTCTCAACATCGGAATAGCTAAGTATGAATTCACCATTATCCCGCTAGACATCACGTGGTATAAGTTGTATTGGATTGTGTTACCATCACCAAAAAGGTCGGACATGGATAGCGCGAAAGTGGTGAATTCGAAAATGGCCTACTGAAGACAGTCTATTGCAACTGAAGACGCTCTTAAAGTGTGAAACACACCACAGCAATATTGCCAGCAGGAGTCGACTGCTGGTTCCAGAAATATATGAAAAACTTTGACATACTTTGATTAATTAAGCTTTTAGTTTTTACATGCAGATCTAAAACTGAGTATGCCTTTGTCACTAACTGCTTATGTCGCTAACCGTGAGTACTCGATAACATTACAAGGCAAGCAAGTGATTATGTTAAACCGCTGAAGCGCTTCTATGTAATAGACATTGCCGCTGATACATATATTTACATAAAGGTTGTCGGTGCCAAAGGAGATAGGATGGATAGACGTTAGATCATTAAAAGGAATTATGGGTAAACAACTAAACAATCGCGAATAAACGAGGCCTTTAAAATGGTTTCGTCAACTACAAGCAACACTGCGGGATCATCTCAACTCAAACCTCCGTGTTCTTGGAGACCATAAGAAGACGAAACACCAACGTACCATTAAACTATTTTTAAGTTTTCAAATGACCCATCTCCTATATCCCCTATTGCCCATCATTGTTCGCTGGCAACACAAAGGAAGCCCAACATATAAATGAACGATTGATTTGACAAGTTAGTCCATTTGAACTGCGGAAATAGGGAGATAGTTTAAAAATTTTTTTACACATTGTGAAGCTTTACAACCCAGCTCCAGCTGAAAGATGGACTATTCGTGCCAAACTTGCCAATTATGATGATGATGATGATGATGATGATGATGATAAATGTTCTCTGATTGGTTCAACTTCCCTGACATGAACCAATCATAGTGGATTATTATTTTACCGCTCTTTTCATCACGTGACTGGTTGGTTGGAAGTTTTTCAAAGTTGGTTTTGTTCTTTGTTCTTCATCAACCAAGAATTTCTAYTGGATTATTGCTCTCTTCCCAACAGTTTACTGACTTACACAACCAACCACATTGCAAGTAAATACCTCAACTACTAAACCTGTTTACAACTGCTTCGAGAAGTCTGGAAAGGTTATGGAAAAAATCGCTTGTTTTCAAGAATATGTCAAACTGTAAAAATGTCCGCAGTCAAGACCTTCGTTTAGTCAGTGTTTTGTCTTCTTTGATCTGATGTGAAAAGACCCAGGAAAAGAAAAACCAAACAGAAAGGAAAGTTTGTTTTGTTTTTTAATCTTGTTTTGAGTATATAGAATTTGTTCTAAATATCCGTGTTATTTATTTTCTTTCAGACTCGAGGTGAGCTAAACAAAGACAAGTAAAAAAGGGTGAGCTGAATTATTGCTGATCCTCACATTGAAAAACTAGATAACTATGATTATTGAACCACATTAGNATAAATACCATTCAAATATATYTCGCCGTAGCCATAGATATAGGATAAATGTCACGTGAACGTCAAACAGCCCAACTGCTACTCACTTCCGTCTGTATTAGAACAAGAAAACGGCGAGAACTGTGTGCACTGTGAGTTTGGTAATCCACTTCTCAAGCTTTCGAACCGCATCGATTCATTCATTATACAGTGCCGTTACGTTAACCACTCAATGACACATTCGACTATAAAGTGTGCGAGAATTGCTAAACGGGACGTGCGCAAATGCGTGGATTCCACACCGATAAAATAAAGAATGTATTGTAACCAAAACGTTCTCAAGAATCATTTAACATCCACCGGAAACAATTGGAACTTATAGAACTGCTTTTCATTTGGGACCAGAAAGTCCTTTTTCCATACAACTGAGTCACACTTTAAAGCTCTAGTGTGTTCATTATGTCTGTGTCAAAGAAAAATA